AGGAGAAGTTTAGGGAAAAGATGATCAGGGAGGAGAAGTTTAGGGAAGGGGAAAAAGAAAAAAAATAACATGTAAGTTTCAAAGCCACAAGGGACACAGTCAAACCATCAAGGGAACCTGCTGGCATCCCACTGAAGCCAGATTTAAAGATACATAGATAGTGTAGTTAGGTAAATCGGGTCTAATATCGAGTAAAATCGAAAATGAAGACCATAATGAAAATGGAGCCCTGGGAAAGCAAAGAAGCACTTGGGAAATTGAAATGTTAATGTTCCCAAGGCCCAGAGCCCATTCTAAAGAAATATTAATGAAACAGCTCCCAGTAAACAGGGAGATGCTAATCAAAAGCAGCCCCAGGCCCTTCCTGACCAGATTACTCCTCAGGCCCATCTGCCCCTCACCTTTTGGGTCTCCCCACCTACATTCTATAACTGCAAGATAACAGGACAAAGGACAGAAATCCGACAGAAAGCTAAATGAAGACCTTAGTATAAAAGAGAGAAGAACTCCCCCTTCCATGGATTCCACCTCTTGGGTCCCCTTCTTCCTCTGGGAGAAGTCTTTTCTGCTGTCCTTAATAAAGCTTCCACCTTCCACTCTAAACCTGCCTCGGGTGCTTCTCTGCTGTTATACTTCAGCACCGGGGAAGCAAGGCCTGGTCACCGGTAAAGAGCGGTAACAGCATAAGGAGGTGCCAGGTGGCACGGCCTGAGTGGGTGCGGCAGGAAGAAGGCCTGCGGTCTGGCCCATCTGGGAAGCGCTCATCCGCGCTCTGGGTAGAGGGGCGACAAGGGGTCGGCGAAGTGGCAGGTGGTAGGACACCGGCCTAGCATGCGCAAGGCCCGGGGCTCCATCCCCAGCACCGGAAAAGGGAAGGGAAAAGAAGAGAAAATGAAAAAGAAAGGAAAACGCATCAAGGTCGTAAGTAGGGCTCCAGGAAGTCACGCCCCCCGGAACGCACTCCCGCAGTGTACACGGCCGGCGTCGCACCCACCTCCCCGCCCCTCACCAACGTGGCGCCGGAGCGCGGGGCTGCGGGCGGAAGTGACGCGCACGCCGGAAGTGCGCCTGCGGGTGGGCCGGCGGAGCCCAGTGCGGCGGCTGAGGCTCGAGACTGGTGATGCGACAGGCGGGGCGGCTTGGGGGCGCCGCGGCGCTGTGGCTGCTGCTGTCCGCCCACGTGGTGTCGGCGTTCGAGCCCCTCAGCGTGGGTCTGGCCATCGGGGCCGTGTCGGCCCTCACGGGCTACCTCTCCTACAAGGACCTGTACTGCCGCTTCGCCGAGTGCTGCCGCGACGAGCAGCCGCTCAACGCCTCGGGTACGTGCCGCGGAGGGGCGGGCGATGGCCCTGCTGGAAGCGGCCTGCGACAGCGCGCCGCGGCCCCCGGACCTGCCGCGGCCCCTCACCTGCCGCGGCCCACGGGCCCGGCTCCGAGCGGCGCGCGAGGCGCGGCCGCCCCGGCGCCCCCGCAGCCCTGCAAGCCGCGCCTGCCGCGCCGCGCCGCCTGGAAGCCCGCGGGGATGGCGGAAGAGTAGCCTGCAGCTCGGCCGGGAGGTGGTCCGACCTTGGATGAAAGAGGCCATCTAGCTTCCTGGTCAGACGCGTAGGGTTAAGCAGAACCGCCACCTAATGCACTTCCTCGGAGGTGGCATCACTTGGCTCCAGCCCCTGCGGGTCAGCCTCAGCCTTGGCTCCGGGGTGGGCAGAGTCGCTGCCGGATTGCTCGCTGAGCCTGCCTCTCGCTTTGGTCAGCTGGGAAAGTGCCGCTTCTCTGATGCATTCTTAACGTGTGTTTCTCTCTCTGTCCGGGGCCTGGCTCCCGCAGCCCTCAAGTTGGATTTGGAGCAGAAGCTGTTTGGACAGCATCTGGCCACGGAAGTGATTCTCAAGGCGCTGACTGGCTTCAAGAACAACAAAAACCCCAAGAAACCACTGACCCTGTCCTTGCACGGCTGGGCTGGCACAGGCAAGAATTTTGTCAGTCAAATTGTGGCTGAAAATCTTCACCCAAAAGGCCTGAAGAGCAACTTTGTCCACCTGTTTGTATCAACTCTGCACTTCCCTCATGAGCAGAAGATTAAACTGTACCAGGTAAGAGAAGCCACCCTTACCTCCTCGCAGGATGCTCAGAGTGGCCTGGGTGACCTGCCTGGGAACTCTGGCCTCTTCTTGTCTTTGCGTCGCAACAGCCCCAGAGTTAAGGCTCCTTGTAGTCCAGGGGGTTAGGAAGATCTCCTGTAAATCTTTCCTTAGAAGTCTAGCAGAGTAGATGATGTAATTCCCATTAAAAGATGGAGCCAAGAGAGGCAAGGTGACTTGCTCCTCAAAATATTTGTGGCCTTTGGGCCCAAAAAAGCTTAAACTCAAACCTCTCAGCTCCCATTTTACCTGCTAGCTACCCTCTACAGTGAGTGCACAGTCTCAATGGCTAGCATGGTCCTGGCCTCCTTTAATGCTCCCCATCCCCCCAGGTGGCCTCAGCTGTACCCCTGCATTTTGCAAGGTAGACTAGAGGATTTTTTTTTCCTCTCTCAAATGGTTTTTATACCTTGTTTCCCCCGACCCTCAAGTCCTTGTCTTGGCTCAAAGAAAGCCTCATGAGTGTTTCTCTGAGAGATTCTTTCCATATTTAAGGTGTTAAATGTTTTCTAAATGAATGTGTCATTATTAAGGTTAATATTCCTGCTGTTAGGTGCCAACTAAAATGGGAAATAGAAACTTAACTGAACTAGGAAGTGAAAGTATTTTCCACTCAAGCTCTAAGATGGAAGATTGCCAAAAGGAAGAAATAATTTTCTTGTTTTCAAATTGTATTGTAAATCTCTTGAAACGTGGCAAAATAGATGAAGGGGTATCTGGGGGGCGTTCGTGGTCAAGTTCTTTCAGGTTTTGGGTTTGAGAACTTGTTGCTGGGGTGTTTTTGTTTCAAGAAAAGCCTCGAGGCTGGGGGTGAGGAGCAGTGGTAGGGCACTTGCCTAGTGTGCCAGGAGCCTTGGGCTTTATCCTTAGCACCACAAGAAAAAAAGCCAGCAGCATAGGGACAGACTTTTCATGAAATGTCATCTAGGTCAGTTCTTTGCTTTAGTCTGGGGTCTTGGTCTTAATCTAAGGCTAAACAGCCTTAATATAGTACCTTATTCCTCAGTGTATGTGGCAATATTGACTGGAGGTTTTGTTCAAATGTGAGGTGAAAACTATGGGGTGGTCAGCAGGAAGGATAAATATTCCTATGTCTTCTACCTCTTAGACCCTTAAAAAGTCAAAGCATGACATTTGAGTTAGGAAAAATGTCTTTGCAATTCAGCATTTATCTTTGTGCCCGTTTACACTTTTTTTTTAACATAAATAATTTATTTTTTATTTAAATATTTTTTAGTTGTAAATGAATATAGTATCTTTTATTTATTTTTTTGTATGTGGTGCCGAGGATCGAACTCAGTGCCTCACACGTGGGAGGCAAGTGCTCAACCGCTGAGCCACAGCCCTGGCCCAATAGTTTGTTTTTTTAAAAAATATTTATTTTTTAGTTGTAGTTGGACACAGTACCTTTATTTTATTTATTTATTTCTTGTAGTGCTGAGATCGATCCCAAGGCCTCGCACGTGCTAGGCGAGCGCTCTACTGAGCCACAACCCCAGGCGCCCCCCTACCCTTTACACTTCTGATGGTTTGAAAAAGGTGACAGAGCCCCAGGAACCCCTTCCTTAGTCCTTTAGAGCAGGGGAACAGGGTGGTGCTTGGGCTCCCTGGGTGTGGCCATTGAGCCTCTGCCACTCTTTCATGGTCTTGTCTAGGAGCAGCTACAGAAGTGGATCCGTGGAAACGTGAGTGCCTGCGCCAGCTCGGTTTTCATATTTGACGAGATGGATAAGTTGCACCCCGGGATCATCGATGCCATCAAGCCTTTCCTTGACTACTACGAGCAGGTGGACGGGGTGTCCTACTGCAAAGCCATCTTCATCTTTCTCAGGTCAGCCAGCAGTGGTTTCTCAGGGACAGACGAGTCCTCCATTCTCCCAGTGCTAGAATGAGGTCCTTGTGACCACCTGCATTTTGTTTATCAGGGACAGAAGTGCCAGCCTGGTAAAAGTTACTTTTACTTTTTGGTTACCAATAATCAGCATGGCATAGAATGGGCAGGGATGAATGAGCTGAGGAAATAGTTGCTGATAACAGACAATTTGGAACTGTGTGTTGTCTCGAGGGTTATAAAACCACAGCATGATCCCAGAAAGCTATGAAGACATAGATGGTGTTGGGCAGTGGTGCGTGCCTTTGGTCCTGGCATCTCCGGTGGCTGAGGCAGGTGGGTCACAAGTTAAAGGCCAGCTGCAGTAAATCAGCAAGGCTCTAAGCAACTTAGCAAAACTGTCTCAAAATAAAAAAGAAGACTGCATATAATCCCAGGGCTTCCGCTGCTCCTGTCCCTGTCCTTGCTGCCCTCCTGGGAGGCGGAGTCGCCATCCTCTCCATGGTGCCTAGGTTATACTTGGCCCTGCCATAGTGGCCACTGGGCTTCCACAGCTCTTCTGGTGGCCTTCATGGACTGTTTTCCCCTGGTGCCCCAGCCTGGAGCAGTGAGGAGGGCCGCAGGTGGGGAAGCCCGTGTGCAGGGGTGGCCTGTAGGTGGGTGCCCTGGCTGGAGAGGCGATAGGGGACCACTGGGTGGGGCAGTGCATGGGGGAGCGGGGGAGGAGGTGTAGGTGAGCCCATGGATGTGGGTAGGGAGTCTTGTGGGGCCCTTGGCCCAAATAGGGGAGGGGTGTAGTGAGAAGAGCAAGGCACCAGGATCCTAGAGGAGCTTCCTAAATGTGTGGAGGTATTTATTATTAGAATTATGTCCTGAAAATAATTAACCATAAAAATAAAAAGATAAGAAAAAGGGCTGGGGATGGCCTGGCTCGGGAGGATAAGCAGGAGGATTATGGATTCAAAGCCAGTGTCAGCAACTTAGTGAGGCTCTGAGCAACTCAGCGAGACCCTGTCTTTAAGTAAAATATTTAAAAAACAGCTGGGGATGTGGCTAGGTGCTTAAGTGCCCCTGGGTTAAATCCCCAGTACCAAGAAAAGGGGGGGGGGATGCTGGGGATGTAGGTCAGTGACAAAATGCTTCTAGGTTCAATCCCCATACCAAAATAAATAAATAAATTACTAATAATAGTAATAAAAAGGAAACAAATGGTGCATGCCTATAATCCCAGTGACTCTGCAGGCTGAAGCATGAGGATTGAAAGTTTGAGGTGAGCCTCAGCAACTTTGCAAGACCCCATCTCAAAATAAAATTTAAAAAGGGCTGGGAGTGTAGCTCAGAACATCCCTGGGTTTAATCTTCAATATGCAAAACAAAACAGAAACAAATTTTAAGTTCCTTGAGGGCAGTTTCTTTTGTGTATAGTAGCATTTAGTAAATTTGGTCTAAGAGGAAAGCTTCAGGGATTAGATGTGTAGGTTGGTGGTAGAGTGCTTGCCAAGCCTGCATGAGACCCTGAGTTCAACTGCCAGCACCCCAAGAAAGGCTGAAGCTTAGGGCTGGGCAGAGTTCAGTGGCATAGCACGCTTAGCATGCTTGAGGCCTGTATTCCATTCCTAGCACCAGAAAAATAAATAAACCCTGGAGCAGGTTCATTTCCTGATGAAACATAGAAGTCTTGATATGTGATTTGATCTATTCCCTGGCCAACCCAGCAATGCAGGTGGGGACCTCATAACTAAGACAGCTCTGGACTTCTGGAGGGCAGGAAGAAAGAGGGAAGATATCCAGCTGAAGGACCTGGAACCTGTGCTGTCTGTCGGAGTCTTCAACAATAAACACAGTGAGTCCCCAGGGCGAGGAGCCAGCAGGTGCTGTCTGTTCTGCTGAGTCTTTACAGAGCCCCAGAGCCTACTTGCTAGGGGCTCTGCTGCCGTGGGGTTCCCTAGGGCCTTAGCAGGGGTTGCACACCTGACAGACTCTTGCCAGGAGTGAAGACGTGAAGAACATGCTGCAGGCTGAGATCAGGTGTGGAGTTCCACCAGGTGGCAGTGACAGGCAGGAGACAGCTCTGTGTTGTTCTGCAGGTGGCCTGTGGCGCAGTGGACTGATAGACAGAAACCTTATCGACTACTTCGTCCCCTTCCTGCCCTTGGAGTACAGACATGTGAAGATGTGTGTGAGGGCAGAGATGCGGGCCCGTGGTGCTGCTGTGGATGAAGACATCGTCACCAGGGTGGCAGAGGAAATGACGTTTTTCCCCAAAGATGAGAAAATCTATTCAGACAAGGGCTGCAAGACTGTTCAGTCCCGACTAGATTTCCACTGAGTGCTTACCCACACCCGGACCTTGCCCTTCAGAAGCACTTTGAAGACCTCTTCAGGGTTCTGCATATTTGCACCTGTGAACTTGGGATCTAGAAGTTTCTAAGAGTTAACTATTGAAAAGATACTAATCTGTCCTGCGTGCGACATGATGGCAGTTCAGCTGTTCCTTGCAATTGAATGTGAGCTTTTAGAATCCTTCATATGCACAGTTATTAACCTTCACGGAAGTGCCTGCAAACAGCTGTGCGTGAGGTGGAGGGTCATTGGTGACCCACGGCCCGGCCTCTCAAGCCAGTGCTTTGACCAAGGGCCCCAGGGACCCTGCTATAGTTGGGAGCATCAGGTTTTCACATGCCAAAGTCATCTTGCTCTGCTTTTTCTTTGCACAGAGCACATTCACTGGCTGGTAGTATTTTTAGTTAACATCAGTGGCCCTGCAGGTGCAGATGGTGTTGGCGAGGAGGATGTGGCCCTACACACCGGCTACTCTTGTCCTGGGCTGGACTGTCATCCTAAGGGTGAAGGTGCACCCAGGCCCTGTAAGCAGACCAGGATCCAGAGTCCCTCGGGTCTGGCCCTGGCCTTGGAATTCCCACTGTCTGCTTGGTGAGCCTGCCAGCTCCTTATACCATGTCCTCCAGACACGCCACTACCAGGTTTCCCCAGCCCCTTCATGCTACATTTGCCTGTTACACTTCCCCTGTGAGTATGTGCAGCTCAGCAGGACCGGCGGGTGCTCTGAGCTGTGCTGGCCTGCAGAGCCTGATTGTGGAGGGAGCAAAATGCTTAAGCGCCTCCTTAAACATAAGTGTATTTTGCCGGGCTCCGTGGTGCACGCCTATAATCCCAGCGGTTTGGGAGGCTGAGGCTGGAGGATCACGAGTTCAAAACCAGTCTTGGCAATGGTGAGGCGCTAAGCAGTTCAGTGAGACCCTGTCTCTAAATAAAACACAAAATAGGGCTGGGTATGTGGCTCAGTGGTTGAATGCCCCTGAGTTCAATCGCTGTACCCACCCCAGAAAAAGATAGGTGTATTTTTAAAACCTGGGAATGACTTAAAATGGAATAATTGCTTATTCTCAGGTACTTTTAAGTAGTATGGGTTTTTTTATTATTTTTATTTTTTGTGCTAGGGAAGTAGTATGAGTTTTTATTGTTAAGTACAAGGTACGGTATGGTCACAATTGAAGATCAAAGAAGGTCATCTGAGTGGTGGCTGGTCTGGGTGTCATCTGATGCTGACCCCTGCATGGCAGTGCCAGGCTGGATGGCCCTGATCACTGGGAAATAAAGAGTCAGATTCCAGCCAGCAGGATCCTTCTGCCTGACCCACAGCTGTGATATAACTAGACCCGTGATTGAAACACTGGGTAACATTTTTATATGTATGAAATGTGCAAGAATGAAGAGTCTGCAACATGGAAATGCCTTCTGGGGTATCACATTTAGTCTTTAAAAAACACCACAGTGGGAGCTGGGGTCGTGGCTCAGCAGTAGAGTACCCTCTCCTAGCACGTGGGAGGTGCTGGTTTCAATCCTCAGCACCACATAAGAGATAAAATGACAACTAAAAAAATATCTAAAAACACCCCCAAACACCCCTGTGGGCTGGGGACGTGGCTTGGGTAGAGTGCTGGCCTCGCATGCGTGAGGCCCTGAGTTCCCTCCCCAGCACCACCCAATAAATGAAGATGCCAAGGTGAGGCTCCTGAGTTTCAGGATGTGTTCTCACATTGGAGCTAAGTTACCTTTCTTTTATAACCTTTTGGGCCTGTGGTCTGGAGGAGACAAGGTTTCCTGTTTACAGTGATGCAATAAATTCCACACATGTGGGCCACCTTTGGACTGTGGTTGCTGATTTGGAAAAGCCCAGCCTCTCATGAGATATGGACAAGAACTTGAATTGACTAGTGAATAGAAAATAATAAAACCTAAATACTATGTTGTGAGATGTCACTTTTTCTTCTTACCTCTAGTTTATGTGGAGGCAAAGTCAGTGCAGAATAAAGGTTTTCAACATCTCAGGTTAGACACACCTTACCCCAGGTGTGGGGGTTGGCAGCCTGCATCTCACAGCCAAGATTTGTCTCAAAGGTGGCTATCCCCTCAGAGTTAGCTCCCTGGGACCCAGGTGGGCTTCACTCTAGAAAATACATCCTCGCGAGGCTGACGCAGGAAGGAAAAGTTGAAGCCCCAGGACCCTAACTCAGGTGAGGAAACTCCTCTGCTGGCTCTTCCCACCCAGAACTAGGACGCAACGAGAACCTGGTTGTCACTCAGATCTTAACCTTAACCACACTTAACCTGGCAGTGATCTGGGGATGT